TGAGCGGAAGTGTGCAAGTAGGAATGCTGACCTGGTGATGGCTTTTCTTTGTAAAGTAAGCTTGGGCACAGAGGTCTCTAAACCAACACAGAACACATTGGAGAATAGAACAGCATTTCTGTGGGAAGGGCCCTACAATGATCACCTGAAATCCCAGAATGGTTTGAGTTGGAAGGGACCTTGAAGATAATCTAGTTGTAACCCCCCTGCCATGGGCAGGGACACCTTCCACTAGCCCAGGTTGCTCCAAGCCTTGTCCAACCTGGCCTTGTACACTTCCAGGGTTGAACCATCCAGTCCAAGTGCCTGAGCACTTTGGGCTGCTCAAAATTGAAAGCATATTATTGAGGGCATCTCTTAAACACTGTCAGGCTTGGGGTATTGACCACCTCTTGGATAAGCCTGTTGCAGTGTTCTTTGTGGAGCAGCTGTTAAGAGTGTGGAGGTTCCATTCTTCCTCAACCCTCCCAGCAGGACAGGCTGTCCTGCTTGCTTGGCTAAAGGAGGGAGCAAGAAGCAGCAGCCTGATCTTGGAAAGCAGACAGTCTGGTCAAAGGTTTTTGGGTTAAATTAGAGCAGTGGCTATGGAACTGAAAAGAAAAAAAAAATATTTCCTTGGCTTGTGGGGAAAGACCTAAACTGGGAGTACGTGGATCGTGTTTCCTGGCCCTCTTTATTTGGCTGATAATTCTGTTTTTCTCTTTTCAGATTCACCCAAAGAAGGGGAAATTCCTGGTAGCTAAAGCCCAGGAGATGGGGCTGCCAGTGTGAGTAGGAGATCCCAGCCTGGGGCACAGGGCAACAGCAGGCACTTGGGTGTTGTCCAGCTAAATCTTTGTATGGCCTTGTTTTCAGGGGAACTCCAGCCATCCTTCCCATAATTACAGCTCTCAAAAATGGGGAGAGCATCACATTTGAAGGCAAAGAGGTAAGATGTGTCTGTACTTCTGCTGTGGCTTTGCCACTCTCCCTCCTTCACTGGGCTCCCAGTGACAAGCTTTTGTGCAGAATGGTTTTCCTACCAGTAGGTACTGGGATTGTTCCATCTCTGGATTGCTGGTGAATGTGCGTGTCTGGGGCAGTTGAGGTTATGATTAAGGAAGTACACTCCAAAATACCTGTGTGGGTATGGCTGGATGTTTGCTGTTTGGCAGAGCTTCTTCCCCTCACCTTCCCAAAGCTGATGCAGATCTAGGAGCAAGATAGTGGAGTTAATCCCTGCATTTTTTAAATCTGGGGATTGAATGCCTGTGTAGCCATAACTCCCTCCTTACTGTGTTTGCACTTCTTATATCAAAAGAAGTTCAGTGGTTCCTGGGTGCAGGGTCTGAATTTCTCAAACACTGGAGTGAGAGGCAGAGCCAGCTCTGGCCATGGCCCAGGTGATCTTCAAGTGAAGATCCTGATCTGGGAGAGAGGATTAACATATCTTTGTGTCACAAGAATTTCACAGAGCCTTTTTTTTACTTGAACATGCCTTTTCTACCTCCTGAATCTGCCATGGGAATCTAAAAGCTGCTAAAATTCCTTTCCTTAAATTTGATTGTGGTTTGCCCTGGGATCTGGGTGGGGATTTGTTGTTCCACAGTGTGCCATGAGAGCAGAAGGGGAACAAGAACTGCCCTGGCTGGGTTTGCTGAGCATTGAGAGGGGCTGCTGGGGGGCTGCCTGGTGGAACAACTGCTGACAGAGCAGTGCAGGAGGGGCTGTGTGCAGACACTGTTTGTGGTGTGACCATTGTGTATCTCCTGCAGCTGTTCCCTGAGGAGCTGTGCACCCCCACGGATCCTGGCCCTGTGTTCCTGGTGCTGGAGTGTCCCCACGAGGGCTTTGTGGATGCTGTGTGTGAGAACGAGACCTTCCGCAGGTAGGGGGGTCACCTGCAGGCTTTGGGGAAGGAGCCCTGTGCTGAGCTCTGCCAAAGAGGAGCTTGTGTCCTGGTCTGGATGTGCTGGTTCTCATGGCTGATGGCTGAGCTCTTTGGCATCGTTAAGGAGCTCAACATGCAAGAAAGGACTGGTAGTGCATTTTGAGGCTTTTAGGAAAGGCAGGATCTGTGGGAATCTGTTACTGTCATAGACCTGTCTTCCCTCAGGGGCCCCCAGAGCAGGAATGTGCACTGGGATCTGGCTGGGGAGCAGTGGCAGTTGCTGCTTCCCTGGGTGCTGGAAGCCTGGACTGCACATAACAAGTCTGTAGGGCTTGTGCTTGGGCATGTTGGGCTCATGGAGGCCCTGCAGATGTTGTTGCTGATGGAGGAGAGGAATTGGCCTGTGGGGGATGGTGGAGGTGTCAGCAGATGATGGGTCTGAGCCTTGTGCTTTGGTGCTGTGGAGCCTGGAGCTCCTGGACTGTGCTCTGAAGGTCTGTGCTCTGTCCGCGAGGGGCATCTCTGGGAGCACCAGGGTGAGAGGGGAGGGTATGCCAAGGGATGGACTGAAGCACAGGTATTTTTCCTGTGTTTGAATGTGCCCAGGTACCAAGAGGAACTTCCTGAGAACCAGGTGGCCTTGGTTATTCACATGACTCCTGAGTCAGTGCTCCGAGACAGCCGCTACCAGCAGTGGATGCAGAGGTACGTGGTCCTCTGGTTACCGGGTTTGTGACTCTGTTGGCAGCAGCCTGTTCTTGTTTTTCCTGAAGTACAAAGAGCTGTTGGCTGGCAGCAGGTCTCTGCTGGCTCAAGTGGGATCTTTAGCTCAGGTGTGCACGTGTGTGCAATGTGGGGCTGAAGCTGTTGTACATGTTCTTGTCCTCTGACAGATTTGGCCCCGGGACTCAGCATCTGGTGCTCAATGAAAACTCCTCGGCCGTGCACAACCCGCGCAGCTACAAGATCCAAACTCAGCTGAACCTCATCCACCCTGAGATCTTCCCTCTGCTCACCACCTACCAGAGCAAGGTAGGCCAGGCCCTGCCCATGTGCCCTGTGCCCTGAGCACAGCCTGTGTTCCATGTGCCCTTCCATGTGCCCTCCTCCCCGCAGGAAGCAGAGGCCAAGTGCTGGGTGCCCATCGTGCGAGGGGAGTGCCTCCTCAAGTACCACTTCAGGCCACAGCAGGAGTGGCAGAGGTCAGTGGGAATCTCTGACTTCCCAGGTTTTTGGGTTTTGTCTTGAAGCAGCTTTTCAGTGAGGGAAGACACTGTGTCAGCATCCTTTGCAGATCCTTTCTGCCAGGCTGCCAACTGTGTCTGGAGGGCTGTGTCCCTGTCCCTGAAAGTCTTGGACAAGGTGTAGGGCATGGATGAGTGAACCACTGAAAACAACACCTGACCAGTGGTTTGGAGCGTTGTTTCTGTCCCTCACTCCTGTAGCCTCATGGTCCTCTGTCCTTTGCTGTGACTCATGCTGTGCACCCAACCGTGGCTGTGGCAGAGCAGACAGGGGCAAGGAGAGAGTTTTTGGGGAGCCCAGTGAAAGACAATGTCTGAAGATCCAGAAAGCCTGATATCAGAGCTGAAAGCTCCAGGTGGTTAAACAGTTGTCAGCTTTGCTTGTGCTGGCCTTGTGGGCAAGTGGGTGAAGCTGCTCAGTGAGAACCTTAAGGGCCAGGGACCACATGGTGCAAGAGGATTCCAGGCTCAGATTTCTGGCTCTGTTGGGCAGAACAGGAGGGCCCAGGTGCCAAGAAGAGTTTAAGTTTCTCTGCTCAAGGTGTCTGAAGGCCTGTAGTACTGCACGTGCTCTGATGCAGGCCCAGGGCACAAGTCTCTTATGCTTTTCAGTGGAGCCTGGAGCCCTTTTGTGTGGCTGCTCCTCTTCCAGGACCCTCCGTGCTGCCTTGCAGTGCCCTCTAGTGCCTGGCAGCCCTGGATCAGGCAATGGTTCTATTCCAGGAGCTTCTCCAGTGTGGTGGAACGATCATTACTGTGGTTGGCTCAGCCCAACTAGGCCTTTTTGGGACACACCACACTTGTGGACATGTCTTCTCCTCGGAACTTGGAAAGAGGGTTTGCCCCCTTGTTGTAAGGCTGTTGTGGCACAGGAAGGGCTACTTCAGTGCCTGCTCTGCCCCATTCTGATGTGTGGCCTGTTCTTGCAGAGATGCTGTGACTGTCTGTGATCACAACACCTTTGTTAGTGAAGCCTTGGACCTCCCTGACTTCCAGACCCGTGTGAAGGAGTGCAAAGAGAGCCTGTCTGCTGTACCAGGTGTGGATCAGGAACCTGGCTTGGATCAGTGCAATGGGAAGTAGGAGCTCTTGGTGCCCCACTGCTTTAGAGCCCAGACAAAGCTGTGAAGTGGTGGTGCTTGTTTTGCCTTCCCTTGTAAACCTGCTGCTGAGGGAGGGAAAACTGACTGTGCTGGGCATGTTGGCTCTGGAGTTACTGGGCTGGTGACCTGAATGGTGTCTGACTGGGCAGTATGTGGATAACACTTACTTACAGATCCTCGTTGTCTGTTTTCTCTAGCAAATGTGGATGCTTATCCTGAAATTGTGTTCCTGGGAACAGGATCTGCAATTCCAATGAAGATCCGAAATGTCAGTTCCACACTGGTGAATACCAGGTAAATCCCAGTGCCCTGCCTTCTGCCTGAGGAGGCTCAATGTCTGGGGGGTGCTGCCCGAGGGCTGATCTAAACAGTGTTGATGACACAGGGTGAGTGCCCCATCCTGGAGTCTGCACTTTCAGGCACCAGTCTCTCTGTAGGTGGGGAAGAGTCAAGAGCCACCTGTAAAGCCAAGCATTTAATGTCTCCATTTCACCATCTGCCCCAAGGGCGTGCTCGGCATCTGCACAAGACCAGAGTGAGGTGTGCAGACAGAACAGTCTCTAAAGCCTTGGCTTGTGGGGCTGGAGCAGCACTGCAGGGTGTGGAGCACTGGGATCTCTGTTTTCCAACCCAAAAGATCCCCCTTCCCAGCATGGCCCTGCTCAGAGCTCATACAGTGGCTGCCAGATGTCCCTGTCACTTGTCTCCCCAGCGCTATCCGATCCCTGCTCCTGGACTGTGGAGAAGGAACCTTTGGGCAGCTGTGCCGTCACTATGGAGAGCAGGTTGACCAAGTGCTGTGTAACCTCGTGGCTGTGTTTGTGTCCCACATGCACACGGACCATCACTCGGTGGGTTCAGTGTGGGAGGGGGCTCTGTGCACGTGTGCTCTGCTCTTTGGGATCAGCTGGAGCTCCAGCTGATGAGTGTGGGCTGCCCTGCTCTGCATTCCTCTCTGCATTCCTTCCCCAGGCACTGCTCCATCTGCCTGTGTTTCTAATTCCCTCTCCCTCCCTGTTTGGAGTCCCTGGAATCATCCAGAGTTGGATGATTTTTTAGCAGTGTCCAACCCACCCCCCTCTACTGTTTGCAGTAAAGAGTCACAGAAGGACCAGCTGATCTGTTCTAGACTGGGCCTGAGCAGGACATGGTGTGTGCAGCTCTGTTCTCTGGCCATCACACTGGCCACTGAGGAGCTGGATAGGGACTTACTGCTTACTGCTCTCCACCCTTCTGGGAAGGGTTGAGGGCCTTGAGGGCTTCTGGCCACCAGCTTGGGGCTTAAGCAGTGTCAGTGTCACAGCAGCTCAGCAAGTTGCAGTTATTGAAAAGCAGAAATCAAGGATTTCTGACTCCAGGTTTGTTCTGACTCCAGGCTTGCTGAGCTGTGGTAGCACTGTTGCCATTCCCTCCCCAGGCATTTCTGACTGCAGCCTGTGTCCTGTTTGTTCCTTTTGCAGGGGCTGGTGCACATCCTGATGGAGCGAAGGAGAGCTTTTGTGAGTAGCCCTGGTGTTCCACTGCTCCTGAACTTGGCTTGGGGTGAGGGGAGAGGAACTTCTGAGTAGTGGAGAAGCACCAGCACTTCCCTAGATATTTCTTCTCTCTGATTTGGTGTACACCTAGTACTGATATTTTCCCCCACCTTTACTTTTCCAGGCAGCCCTTGGTCAGGCTTTCAGCCCTCTGTTTCTGGTAGCACCTGAGCAGATCATGCCTTGGTTACACGAGTACCACAACCACTGTGAAGAGATTCTCGGAGACATCAGGTGAGTGTTCTGTGTGGTGTGTGGAGAAAAGTCCTTGCTGGGTCCTTATTTAAGGCAAAACCCATCATCCATTCCCCAGCCCCTTCACTGGAGATGACTCTGAGTCCTTCCACTGCCTGTAGAATGAGAATGTGCAGTTTGCAGAGGGCAGGATATGGTTTGTTACTCAGCTGTGCTGCTTAATAGAGGCTTACAGGCAGGCTTCCCTTCTCTGTGGGAAAAGACAGCTGGGCAAGTGGGAGAGAGAGTATTTGACAGTGGGGAAGAGGTGGTTGGGGTAGTTACTGGGGCACCAGTGAAAGCAGGGGTAATGACAGACAGGTGCACCAAAGCACACCTTACCCTTGTTTGTAAGCTGCTGAACAGAGGAGGAGAAACGGGGAAAAATCAGGCATGTAAAAATTAGATCAGGTTTTACTTTGTGCCTCTCCTTAGTTCTCTCTTCTTCCCTCCCTCACAGAATGATTCCTTCTCAGTCTCTTGTGAAAGGCTGTGAGAACATCAGACCTAAAGCCAAGGAGTTTGTGAGCTCTCTGTTAGAGAGCTACGACCTGGCTGAGGTAAGTTCCTGAGCTGGGGGCTCCATGGCTGCAAGGGGCAGGAGAGGACCTGGGCTCTAACACTTGTGTCTGTGTTCAGTTTCAGACCTGTGAAGTCCAGCACTGTAAAAATGCTTTTGCGTGTTCATTGATCCACAAATCTGGCTGGAAAGTAGTCTACTCTGGGGACACAATGCCCTGCATGGCCTTAGTGCGAATGGGTAGGTGACAGAACCTTCTGCTTGAAGAATCTCTTGGAAAAGTATCTGACATGGGCATCCCCAAACCCTTGGTGCTGTGCCTGCCATGCAATGCAAGGAGAGCTCATGTAGGCAGTTGAACTAGTCAGTCTTCAACTGAAAATTGCATATATGATGGTTTACACAGGTAAAGATGCCACCCTGCTGATCCATGAAGCCACGCTGGAAGATGGCCTGGAAAAAGAAGCTATAGAGAAGACCCACAGGTGGGGTGTGTTCTGCTGTCTGTCCCTGTTAAGAAGGGAAATGTGCTGAGCTGGGTGTTTTCTTGGAGCTGGGGGTGAAGGGCCCAAGTTCTGTAGAAGGTTCTGGTGTAGAGCTTTTCCACACTAAAAACGGTGTGTTGCTAATTGCAGCAGCTCTGTAACCATTGCAGCTCCTTTCAACATCCCCCAAAATAAATGGGGAAAGCTGTCAAGTAGATAGTAGTAACTCTACAGATAGAGTTACCCCCTGCTTGATTACATCTTGGACCTAAGCTTAGGGGATAGAAGGATCATCCTGCCCTTGTAACTAAATGTGCAATTCCAGTGAGTTCTGCAGCCAGGGATTCCTCACGCTGCCCCCAGCAAACAGGGGGAAACCTGAGAGCAGCTGCATGGAATTACCTGCAAGTCACAGTGCAAGAGAGCTGGGCATGCTGGCACCTCTTGGACAAGTGTTTGAAAAAGTCCCTGTCCCTAGGGACTTGTGGAACTCTTAAATACAGACCTCCTGTTTTCCTGCCCTTTGGAAGTCAGAAACTTGCCTCAGGGCAGGCTGCCCCAGGGAAAGGAGCAGGGTGTGCCTGTGGGCGCCCTTGGGCCCAGCAGGGGTGAGGTCACTCGGTGTGATGTGACCTGTGTGCAGAGCAGCCTGCCCTGCCTGTGTGTGACCAGGGAGTGCTCCTGCTTCCTTTGCAGCACGACCTCCCAGGCAATCCAGACTGGGATGAAGATGAATGCAGAGTTCATCATGCTCAACCACTTCAGCCAGAGGTACGCCAAGATCCCGCTCTTCAGCGAGGACTTCAGCGACAAGGTTGGAATTGCCTTCGACCACATGAGGGTGAGTTGGGAGCTTGGGGCCAGGCCATGGGAGAGGTTGCAGTGTTACTTTAGGATGGCTGTTCATGATTTAAATTCTCCAGTTGTATCGATATTCCATCTCCTGAAGAGCAGTCTCCTGTGAAACAGCTCCTTTAACTGCTGACAGCAGACATCACCAGTATGGGGAAAGGGTGGCACAGGGTGAGGCAGGTGCTGATGGCTCTTGAATCCAACTCTTAACACGTTGGCTGGGTAATTCCCTCATGCACCTTAAGTCTGTGCTTGCTACTCCCAGCCAAAAACCTAATTTTGCTTCCATCCCGATTCCCTTCTCTATTTGTGTGCTGCTTCAATGGCTTTCTGCAGCAGACATCTGGGAGGCAAAAGTTGCTACCATTGCGCTGCAGGCAGTTGTGGCAGTGAGGGCAGCTCCCTGTCAATCAGAACTTGTACTGGTTCACAATATTTCTGTGAAGAAAATGTGAATAACTTGTCGAGCCAGGGCTGCTGGGTGCGGGTGTGCACACAGGGAGGGGCAGTGCCCTGCCATCTGCACAGGCCACAGGCAAGGGGCAGGAAGGGAAACAAAAAGCAGTTCTCATGCAGGTGCTCTTGTGCTTGTGTGTTAGGTACGTTTCGGTGACTTTCCAACCATCCCGAAGCTGATCCCGCCGCTGAAAGCTCTGTTTGCAGATGACATCGTGGAAATGGAGGAACGCAAGGAGAAGCGGGAGATGCGGCTCCTGAAGGAGACGGCCCTGGTCCTGGACAGACTGACTGGGGGGGAGAACACGGGGGCAGCGTGCCAGAAACGGAAACAGGCCAAGAACCACCAGGAAGTACCAGACAAGAAGCTTAAAACAGTAAATTGAGAGAGACACGGCTGGGAATGCTCTGCTCTGAGAGAGATTCCTTGCTCTCCGCAGGCCTTGGGAGCATTTGGTGCCGCCGGCACAGCAGGAAAGGGGCTGGCCTTGGTTCTGGGCTTGCTTGGTCATCATGGACCTCCCTGGACTGCAGCTCCAGTGTCTGCCAGCAGTGCCAGTCCTTGTGGAGACAGGATCTGCCACACAGCTCCTGTTCCAGGGGCTCACCAGGCCATGTGGCATTCTTCTTTTAGCCTAAAGTTCTTCTCTCTGAGCTGTTTTGATTTTGAGGTTTATGCTATAAGCTATTGATAATGTAACAGCAGCAGGTGTGACCTTTGCAAGAGATCAGGTGTGAGAGGCCCTGAGGGGCCATGGATTTGCCAGAAGACAATGGGCAGGTCTCAGTGATAGGGGATGTAACCAAGTATCAGAACCCAGGTGACAGGAGGAAAATTAACAGTAAAATGGAATCCAGTTACTTTTTAGTTAAATTAGGAGTGACGATACATCTGTGTTCCCATTTTATTTTGGTTTTCTCCACTGATTTTTTTTTTTTCAAAAGATCAGTTTTCCAAACCCTTTATTTAGAATCTGAATAAAGCCCTCACTGTCCTCCAGGAAGCTGTGTTGTATCTGGATCACTAACGAGGAAACAAACACCTGGGTTGCTCCAGAGAGTGACCTTGACTGTCTGATTTTGCATTACAGCATTGGGATAAAGACCACGATCTTGCCTGTCAGGTCTGGATCATGCTGGAGCGTCATGCCTGTGTTTTGTGCCAGAACAATCCTCTCTGCCTCTTTTACCCCCTCTAGACAGGAGCTTTGCTTGTCAGCCCAAGCTGGTCCCAATGAGTGGTGGCTTTTGAATGACTGGATCAGACTGGGAGTTTCCTCGAGCAGATTCCAGTTCTGGGTGCAGGGAACAGGAAAGCTGGCAAAGCAGGCAGAGAGGGGGGAGGTCTGTGGTTAAGAGGAGTTTTCTGAGGTTTTCTGTGGATCACCTCTCCTTCTTCCCTTCCCACTGCTGCAACTGCCTGTATTTGGAAGCAGGAGGGGACCTCTGTGCTGCTTGAATTAAGGAGTTCATTTTTGGAGGCAACTTGAAGTCACACAGCTCCCAGGCCCTGCTCAGCAAGTGATGCCAGCACATAGTAAAGACTTAAGACTTCATTTTAAGGTGATGTGAAATTAGGAAACAAACTGGAAGCAAACCCTTTTTTTTTTTTTGATGAGCTGAGCTTTAATATTCTGCTTGTCTGAAGAAGAGATGGTAACTGATGCTGGGTCCTGCAGAAAAACTCTGCTGGGCTTTTAGGAATAGCCCTCAGGGATTAGGGAAAGACTGAGCAAGGACCTGTTACTGGGCAGGTTTTTGTAGGAGTGGGTTGGGGTGCCCAGGAGAGGGTCTGGTTACTGTTGGGCTGAGACAAGCAGCCCTGGGCCTGCACAGGATCCCTGTGCTGCTTTTCATGGAAAGAAAGGTCTTTTATTTGGAAAATAATGAAATCCTTGTCACATTGGGTATTAATAAAATGCAAATCCAGCAGTGGCAAGAGCCCACAGCACGCGGGATCCAGCTCCAAGTGGTCGATGTTTGTCCAGTGGGGTCGGGGAGCAGCACGGTGGGTGAGGGACGGGACCTGTCTGTGCCCGGTGTGGAAAAACTCCCCGGGCTGTGCTCTGAGCTGCCCGCGGAGCGAGCCCGGCTGGGGAACTGCTCTGGGGCTGCAGCGGGGATACAGTGAGGGAAACCGGCCGGAGGAGGAGGAGGAGGAGGAGGAGGAGGCTGGGACCGCCCTCGCTTCCCGGCGGGACACGGGAGCGCTCCCGGGAGTTGCCCGGGCAACGGCGGCTCCTCCCGCAAACATTCGGCGGT